TATTTATATTGAATGGTACTAGAGCATTATTAAATACCATGTAAATAATACAACATGGCACCATTGTCTGTCTTGCAGTGTAAGTGCTTTTCCAAAAAACAGTGGACTCTGTAATGAAGAATGTTACTGATTTTAACTGTACTCCTTTCAAGGTTATTCTCTCCACCCTTCATCTGACCTAAATGCCTCACGGACAATGTAAGCAAAAACACTTCAGTTCCCCGGGATAGGAAGAGGTTTCCAGCATTATGGAGGTGAAGGAACGAGACAGAAGGGAACTGGGTATTTTGTCTAAATTGTCCCATCTCTAGCCAGTCCCATCTCTAGCCACAACCTTACTCATTTGCGTAACGTGGTGACAATCAGAGACTACTCTATAAAAGTGCTGATCAAAACTCAGAAGTGGGTGATGGCCAAAACACAGGGCAGTTCTCCATCATGAGGTCTCAATGAAGTGACAAGCCGTATGGCTCATACATACCGAAGCTAAGCTGCTGCTGTTGACAGTGAGCAAAGACTACATCATTTCTTCTGGGTATTATCATTTAGGTCTGCTCTGTGGGCAGCAGTGTTGGCCCCATTAGCTCTTCCACCCTACCCTTCCACCTGGGAAGAGCCTGGACAAGGTCCTGGAGCAAGATATGAGGGATCCCCACACAGGAATGTGTGGACATATCACATTTCCAGGGGCTCAGCAAAAGTTGATCCATGGTCATGTAGCTGTTTGGCCAGTGTGCTATGTGAAAAGCTTCCCCAAGCGGCCCTGGAGGCCACGAAACCCTCAGGAGACATTTTCACATAGCTCCTGCTGGCTCAGTTGCTCAGGACTGGTAGGAGTGAGCAGCAGCCAGGACGATAGCTTGTGGCCTGTGTGTAACCTGTGCAAATTGCATCTCCTGGTCAGAGGGAAACATCCAGAATGAGGAAACATCCGCCAAGAAGGTAAGGAAGAGTAGGCTAAAGCATTACAAGATCCTGCACAGTGTTACCAGTACCTGCTCCTGCTGGTCCCCAGCAAGCCGTGGTCTGCTAGAAAAAGTGCATAAACCCTCCCCAGAGCACCAGATGTCAATGGGATCAGAGAGAGGGATGACTGATCTCTTGATTATTACTGCTCTCTCCAGACAGGAGGAAAATGGTTAGACCTATTTGATAGATCCATGAGCCTGGGAGAAACTAGGAGACTGAGGTCCTGTTTCTAATGCTATGATTGATGGATTCTGTCATTTGGCCAAGGTACAGGCCAGCAACTATCTCTACATCCTTTCTTTTTCTTTTTTTCTTCAACTTGCCCCTCAGAAAAAATGAAGCACTTTTAAGACTCTTTTGAGTCCCAAATACCAATTAGCAATTGAATACCAATTGCTAAGAATTTGGTATATGAGATGACAGGCCAAACCCATGCCTCCTTATGTCATAAATATCACATTTGCAAAGGTACCATTTAAGGTGCAATATGGGGTATACAAGCAAAGGCTCTGAGAAAGGCTGAGAAAAAACTGCAATGGCTCAAGATACCCGAAATCTCCACTCTGCTAGAAAACACAGTTACACCGCAAAAACCAGGGACAGCTCTGCTTGGCTATGATGGCAGAAAGCCTCTTGAGTGCCTTTAGCAAGAGTTATTAATGCCCTCTTCCTCTTTCTTGATAGAAACCCTGAGGCTGGGGAGAGCGGCAGATGAGTAACGCTGCCTGACATTGCCTAGCCACCCTGCTCTGTTCCTTCCCTTCCCTGTGCTGTCGTGCACCTTTACGGCAGAGCTTCCCAGCTACCCCGCTGCTTCTTCAGCAGGGAACTGGTGCAGGTCCCAGGAGAAAGAGGGGAGGGAAAAAAGGAGAAAGAGAAAGGCAAATAAGAATGACTTATTAAATGGTGCGAGGTTCTTCTCTCAGTCTCTCATCACATTCCAGACTGATTGGAGGTGAAATTGCACTTGGAGGGGAGGGGAAACAGACTCCCCTGGGACATCCAGAGGCTCTTACACAAACTTAATTTCAAGCTCTGTTGAAGACGGTGTTTGGCTTTTTTATTTTTGGATTGCATTCATTTAATTTCTCAGGCGGATGTGTGAAAATTAGAAAGTCAGACCTTTGACTGTGAAGATAGCCCTGCGCCTGCTTCTTATGGATCCAGTCTCACATTGTTTTCTTCCATCACTGACCTCAATATATCTGCGCTCAGGGGTTGCTAAAATGTCTGCCATCTCCCTTCCACACTTCAGCAGAGACAGTTATTATTTTTTTTCATTTAAGCAATCCAATTCATTTTGAATTAAAAATAAATAAATAAATAATAAAAAGAAAGGAAAGGGAAAAAAGATAGCTTTCCACAGGTTGCTGTAGAAAACGGATACTGTGACCTTGAAAAGGCTCTGTAGCTTGGCTCTGGCTGGTACCACCAAGTGCTGTTACAGATTCAGCTCTCTGATCCGTGTTTGCTTTCCACTGGGAAAAAAAAAAAAAAAAAGCAGCTGTGGGTTTTCAGCCATTTCAGCGATGATAGCTGAAAGGGTAGGAGAGGAACCGCGATTCTTGCATTTGGCTTTGAAAGGATGTTGAAGGGGCCAATCCCAGAGGCTCAGTTTCACGTACCGGGCCATTTGCGCAAAGTGGGTCTGGCTAGCTATGTGTTAAGTTTTCCAATCTTGAGAGCATATATTCCCACAGTTTTAAGTAAAGAGGCCTTCTGATTGACCTACTTGAGCCTGGAATCAAGCACAAAGTGACAGCTATAACAGCTAACACGTGGCTGCCTGTTCAGGTTGGCTGCTGGCGCAGGTCCCTTCCAGGGTACATCAGAAAGGGCTGGATACAGACAGGCCTTGCCCAGGTTTTTCCTACATCGTGGTTTCCTACTGCGACTCAAAGAAGGATTGCAAGCAAGGAGTAAATTCAGGCAGCGCCACGTCCTGAAGCAGCTGCTGCCAGCAACTGCAGGCCATGCCCCTGAGCGCTCCGTTCCCCCGTTGGGTTCACTACTGATGCAGAAATTAAACCCTTCCTGACCATGGCATTGTGTTCACTGAAGCTTTCAACAGAGCAGCAATTGTCCCCTTGCTTCATTGCCAGCCAGGCACAGGATTATTCATTAGCAGGGCAAGTCGGAATTTGAATGTGAGAGAAATCCATGTTCACACATTTGGGGTCTTCTGAAAGATTCCCTGCAGGCTGTGCTTTCAGCTTCCAGTGAAAGATAGGGGATAACAGTTTTTGGTACAAATTGTGTAACCACAGAGGCGTTGAAAGGATATCACACACCAAGCTATTGCCTATACTTGCAAGAGGCAAAGAACACAGGTTCAAGCTGTAGAGGGAATGTATGTCTTGATTATTTTCTGAAAACAGGAAAGGAAGGAAGGAGGACGGGAAGGAAGGAAATGATGGAAAAGAAAGAAGGAAGGAAGAATATCTAGTTTGACATAGTTGGGGCCTTTCCATCTCTTACCATGTTAATCTTCCACTGCAGCTTGGAGGAAGAGCTAAACAGACCTGCCCCATTTTGCAAGCACAAAATTGGGTCTTACTATTCTTGTCAGTGCAAATCCAGGCACCGACTTTTTGTAAAGAGATAGAAACCAAGACTTTATAGGCAGTCAAGCAGTTAAAATAAGTTCCTCACTGTGTGGCCTATCCAAACAAAATTCTACCTTAGCTTCTTCTGAAATAGGTAGAGAGTATTGAATTTATTTCAGTTTATCTAATTTAGTTCAGCTCAATAACTAATTCAAAGTCAACAAAATGACCGTGCACTGATAGCACAGAAGAGCTTTCACTCCCTTCCTGCCCGTGATGGAAAACAAGATGTGACAGATGTGACATGCATTTGCTCTAAAATTATGAAAAACACAGCGACTAGAAACAGTTACTTCAACTCTCCATTGACAGATATTACTCCTCCTCCTTAATAAATCAGCACGGAATATCGAAATAACTTAGTGAATTCGGTATGGTCAGACTGAAAGCCACAACTAGGCTTTAACTAACGAGAAGAATTTCAAAAACTGCGTGTTTTTCCACAGTTCTACAAAAGCGGCCTCCCTCACAGCGCGCCGCCTAACGACCGCGAGCGACATGGCGGCGACCGGGGGGGGGCGCTCAGGCGGCGGCGGGGC